AGGGATTCCGTCTCGTGAGGCGGTGGAGATGTTCTTGATGCGGGTTATTTTATCGCATCTTTCGGTTATTATTTCCATCTTTGCTATCGCCATGACGAATGATACCGCCCCGGGGGATAATTCCGTCTTGGAGCCTATCGCGAAGTTTGCGCGGCAGCTATTAACGGGGGACGACAAACTCACCAATAACCTTCTCCAGGATCTGTCCATTATCGGGACCGACGCCACGGGCAATCCGACGACCTTTTTAAGAACCAACGCCGGCGATGATAATCCATCACCGGTGCATCTCGGCGTCCTGCGGGCTCTGTTTTTTTTCTGTAATTGCCTGTGCGGATCTAATTTCCACCGGCGCCCAGAGTTTTTTGACATTTCTTTTGATTTACTTCGCTTTGTGTACCTTTATCATAGTGATATAGCATGTCTCGTGACCGATGCGAACCTGCTTCTTCGCCGCATCCTCACAAGCGGCACCGGCGGCAGCGTTTTTCTCGGCTCGGACAAACTTCTTGCCGTGGTTCGGGCCATCGCGCAGGATGGCATTCCTTCCTTTCGCGCGGTCCACAAATTGGATCCGGCGATGCCGCTTTTACCTCGCGAGGTGCGGAGTGGGTTTTATACTGCCTTTATGACTCTCGTCGAGGCGCGCGAGCAGGCGGGGTTTCATGTGGAAAATGTCGTATCCAAGTTATTCACCCAAATGATTTCGCCGGAGGGTTTATTTCACAACCCCGCGCAGACCTTTATCGACCTCACGGCGCTCTCTCGTGGGGTGAAGCGACCGACTACGCTTTTGGTGATTCTCGAACGCGTATTAAACTGCAAGAATGAGTTTATACAGGTCATGAATAAAGACGTAAACTGCGCGACCCTCGTTGTGCGTTGGCTAACGGCGTTATGTACCCTAGGCCAGAACCTACTGGAGAACGGTCCTATAGGGGAGATGCATTGCTCTCTGAGTAGTTTTGTGATGCGGATGTTGAACCACTTTTTCGATCTCGTGTCCTTTCCTTCCTCTTTGGCTCAGCGAGGGGACCTCGACGAAGGATGCGGTCCCAACGGGGAAGATTCTGCGGTCCATTTAAATTCGATGGTGCTGTTTGATTTTGACTCCGAACGTGTGGAGGCGACCGTGGTGTACGACCTTTCGGACTTCCTCTACTGCATGTGCTGCGCACCATGGAGCAATCTAGGGATTATGCATTACTATGAACGACACACCGTGGAGATGTTTTTTACTGGGTCTGTGCAGTTTTTTACTTTTCTTCCGGTGGATATGCTCATGTCGAGCGAAAGCGGGCGAAATCGCGTCTTCAGCGCCATGCTCGCGGCCTTGACCACGGACGGTCCCGTTTTTCAACAACTGCATCATCTTCTCGTTCGGCAAAATATGTGGGACCGAATTTTGCGGTATCTGACTAGGTGCCTTTCCTATTTTTACCTTCCCGCGATCCTCAAACTAATGTTCATAATCGTGCACAACGAGACCATTAGCGGATATAATGAAAATGACGAGGATTCCATACCACGAACACCGCCGTTATCTTTCTATGGCGGTTTATCGGAGAGAACTCTTAGCCTTGTTCTTCGCGAGGTCGTTCTGCTCGTGGCAATCTCGCCGTATTTGGAGAAAAACGAATGCGCCCATGCCTTTTTCTTGATCGAAAAATGCTTTAGGCGTGCCCCTGCATTATCCACAGACCACTTTGTTCGTCTCCTTGATGTGTGTTCTGCTTATCACAGGGTTCGCATTCGATACATAAAGAACAGTGTCCGAGAAGGGCATGATTTTTCCACCTTAATGAATCTATACTTAGGATGCTTTGGTCAGTCCTCTAAAGTATCTATCCTGGCAGCGTGGTAAAGGGAGTGTAAAATTATGTTTAACTGCATGCTCTTTTTACTTGAATAATGAATAGTAATGGAATGACATGATTCATATCGGTTTCCTATTTTTGATCCTTATCGTTTTTCTATTATTAAAGATGGTGGCATGTAATAATGGTGATAAGTATTATTTTTTAATCCTCCTTGCATATTTTCGTACACAATCACAAATAGACTCTCAGAATTTGCTAGAAATGTGGTGTGAGGAGTCTGTATTATCTCATCCTGTAATCTGTATAGTAGTCTTTTTATCTTTTTTGCAGAGATTAAAAAAGACATTTTTGGCTATGAAGTTAATATGTCCAGAAATCTTCCGAAAAAGGGTGCATACCATTTGAAATGTATTTTAGCGTGCCGTAGTGACTGGTTTGCGCTGAAGTCTTCATAACTCATCGGTCTTTGCTTATGCTTTTGAAGAAAAGGATTATTTAACATATCGCACAAACTTCTTGCGTCGGGTTAATCATATTTTTCGTCATTTCTTCAGCCTTGGACTTACATATCAAGGTTCATCTCATTCACACGTCAACTTGTTGATTGTGCGTCTTTGAATATTTATCATGCGAGAAAGCTAATATGTTTTTTCACATGCATACAGGATGGTGGTAAATAAAACGGGGTAGTTTCACTTTTCATCTTTTATTGTGTGGAAATTTATTGCGGAGTGATTTGTCAGACCAGCACAAGCCAAGTTACCGCAGGTCTTGAGTTCATATCTATCACTTCATTTTTAAGGTTGATTTCTGATTAATATTTCGCATTACCTTATCACCAAAACTTGTGTTTGTATGTCAATTTAGGTCTAAAGCTATTGTTGTGAAGTATTGTCTTTGTTCACGTTGATTTTTCTTATCCATTATTTCGTCCTATTACAAAATGGGATTAGAAGGATAACGAAGGAGAATTTGGGCAAATAACTATAAGGAAGTCGAAGAAAAGGTCAATCTGGGGAGACATCGACCACCATGGCATCTTTCTTTGACAAGCCGATGGTGAGCCTTCTGAGGGGTCAATCGCTAGCTCCAATTTCAGCCGTTGAGGCTTTGGAAGGAAAGAAGTACATTCTTGTTTACTTTTCCGCCCATTGGTGTCCCCCCTGTCGTATGTTTACCCCTGTGCTGCGAACCTTTTACGAGAAGTCCCACGCGGAGAAGAATTTCGAGGTCGTCTTCGTGTCCCTGGACCAGTCCGCGGAGAAGATGCGGGCCTACATGGAAGGCGCCCACGGGGACTGGTTGGCCTTGCCTTTTGACGAGGCGAAGGTGGTGGGAAAGGCGTGGATGACGCGGTATAACTTCCAGACTATTCCCACCCTTTTGGTCTTTCAGAACCCGCGCACCACCCCGTCAGGTGAGGGCAAAAAGGAGTGGAGGCTGGTGACGCAGTACGCCCGGGACCTACTCGATGCCGATCCAAAGGGCGAGGGCTTCCCGTGGCCGAACGGGGATGCGGAGGTTCGGGAGTACTACCGCGTATTGAAGCGAAACGTCTTGATTACGGTGCTGGTTTTGATCACCCTCGGGGTTTGTCTGTATCGATTTTTCTTCTAATTTTTGTGTTTATGGTTACAGAGATTGCCACGAAAGGAAAAAAGTAGTCCTGGTGAAGAAGGAAAAAACACAGCTATATAGGAAGCGTGCGATATTTTTATTCGTAAATTCGGTATCGACTTATTATTTTCTGTTAATACAGCATTTTTTTTTCTTTTTTCATTGCTCTTCATGTTTAATGACGGCAGAAATGATTATTCTGAAATGAGAAGTAAAGAGGTTGTGCAGTAGTAATTCTAGTAAGGAGTAATATTTCTGTTGTAGTGATGCGCGAGAGGCGTGGGAGGTTGAGTTAACGTTTTATTACCTATTGAATTATTATTTTGCTCATTCTTGTATTTACTAAGATGACCTTTTTGCACGCAAGATCTACATGAGACGTTAACTACATTGGAAGACACCTTTTTCTTTTCTACATACGTTCATTGAGAGCATAGACAGTACTTTGGAAGATTACTTTGATGAATCACATGTCTTTTATTTTTATTGCCTCAAAAAGAGGAAGCTTACCTAATTCTTGATGAATCCATGGTCATGATATATATGAACGTGTATGAGCAAGTTTATTTCTTAATCAGCCACATATGAATGGATTACATGTATCATACTTTGTAAAATTAATTCTCACTTCACTAAAATAATCTATTTTATTCTTTCACTTTTTTACATCATAAATTCAATTTTTTTGTTCCGCACTAAAGATTGACAAGCAAACTTAAAATATCAAGGCTGATTGATTAAATAAGAATAAGACATCAGTAAAGCTCATAAGGAAACTTTCATAGAAGATTTTATCACATTAGTATTAATGCAATTAGTTTTGATTTTCAACTAAAAAAAGGATTTAGGGAAGTCCTCCTCTTTTTTTACCCTTTCAAAGAGAGCTAAGTATACATGTGGATGAGAAGAAGGTCGAATTATTTCTACATTATATATTTCATAGTTTTTTTATTTATTCTTTTTTTTCACATTGTTTAACTATTTAATATTTATCAAAAAGTGTTTCGCACTATAGTCGTCATGGTATATTTCCAAAATGTTGCCATGACACCAGCATCCTCAGAATTTTTGTAATATTATCTCTTGTGTGGTGTTACATTTGTATCTTGGGTTTCTGCTTGACACATCTGAACTCGTGGATATGTGTGCGGAGTTGACATAATCGGAGTCGATCGTGATGGCGTTGCCGATCCACGAGAAAAGGCAATAAAGTCAAGTTGTAAGATGCAGAAAAATTTGAAGCTGTAGGCAAAGGGGTGACTTAACATATCGGAACTGTTGACATTCCGATTGAAAATCGTGTTCAACCACTCCCATGTCTCCCTTTTTTTTTGTCATGCCTCACGAGGATAAAAAGGTATGTTTAAACTTCGGAAAGTTGCCTGGGATCTCTGAGGCGGAACCGCCGCCACTGACCGATGAAGAGCTAAGCCGCATGACGGAGAAAAGTCATGTGGCGTCGCCGAAGTTCTACGGTTGTCCTGAGTACATCGAGAGGCACGTTTCTACACAAAATACTCCTAACTGTTTTTTCCCATTTTTTTTTAATTAAACAGGGCAAACACCGAGGCAACACCAGGTTCTACGCGACTAGCGTGATCAGTTCATGTAGCGTACTGAGCTTTTCCGAGACCACGGATTCATACGCGGTATCCTTGCACAGTTTCCTAGAGTATTACCGTCAAATGCAACATTACGGGAATTTATTTATTGGTTCTTTCCAGGAGACCGGTGCTCGGTTTGGGGGTAGTTTAAGCAATAGTCAGAACGTGGTCTACCTCACGATGGATAGCACTTCCGATAGGTTCGAAGACTGCGGTTCCGATAGGGAAGGTTCTATAAGACAGGAAATCTGCGCCGCCACCTGTAAAAACGATGTCTCCCTGCATTTGCAATAAATCTGCCTTGGGCTGCAGACAAATGGCCACATTGATTTCGAAGTAGGCGGGGAGCTTCGCCCATCGCAGGGGCAGCCCTTAACCTTCTTCTGTCTCGCGTGCGTTGTCTTTTTGGAGACTATCCTCGCGTCCAAACCCCACACCATTGGTTTATCTTGACCTAAAGGACAAACAGGGGGCCTGGGACAGTTGGCTCTACAGCGGCTTCAGACACATACGTAGACACAGATGCGGTTACACACAGATATTGTAAACACATAGATACTGTTACATACAGATACTTTCACACACACAGATACTGTTACACACATACAGTGATACACACCCTCGGTGTGGATGAAATCTACGATAAGGTTGTTTTCTCTGATCCATCACAATACAGAGTGTTTTTATGAGGGCCCTAGGGCGGGGCTTGGGAGGTCCGAGACGAACTTAAGCAAACGAAAAGGCGATGCTAAACATACTGTTAATGTACTCCTAAGAAGTTAATTCTTTTTGTATTTTCGAGAAGCGATAATAAATTAAAACATGGATTAATTTGTTAGCCTACTTTTACTTTTCTATATTTTGAAGACTATCCAAATAGGACTTTCCCTTCCTGAAAATGTAGGCAAACTGATTACGAATTTGTTTGCCAAGGACAATGTTATGTTTTTAACTTTACACATATAATCACTTTAATACGATATGAACTTTTGGTGTAAGTACTCATTTACTATGTTATCGTGATCAAAAGATATTGTATATCTAGTACCGGTGTGAGTTGACGTATAAAAATCAGAGGCCTATTTTTATTTTTACAGGTAATTTTTATGCATTTTTTGATGTATTTGATCAAAAACAGCACTTATGTTATCATTTTATATGTGACTTTGATGAGTTGATTCTCAATTTTATCAGTTACTTGTTTTCAGGGATGAGCTTAAATTTTATTGTAACCTTTGATTAAAGTAAAGTAAAACTTCTAGTAATATTAAGGACTAATACATGATTATTTGAAAATGATCCCCATCCAAAGAAAGTACCGTTTCATAGCAGTACATGTTTATTTTATTAATTATAGTTGTAATCATGCGAGCCATTTCGATCTGATCATTTTTTAGACTTGTAGAAATATTTCTAATGTATCATTCCCTAACTTTTCCTGTAAACATTCATTTTATGTTATTATAAATGATATTTTTTACATCAGCAGTGAAAGATTATTATATATTTAAATATATTGCTATTATATTTTCCACTCTTTCTATACATGTGTGTATGAGTATTTGTATGTCTAAAGTCTGTAAACCGAACTGAGTCTTCCTTTCATAAGAAGCACAAGGTATGAAGTGTAAATCAAAGCCCGACATACTTTTTTTTATTGAATAGAATTTACTGAACTTAGGATTGGTGTTATATGCATTACGTCAATTGTTGAGGTGTTAGAACTAGTCCCACCTTCTTACTTTTGCCATTGGTAATGGCATACAAGCAAGACATCCTAGACAAATATAGATCGGATGCACTTGCTGGCAAGCCTTTTCTTTGTGCTACTTGTCCCTATTGCAATGGACAACGGGATGCTTCGGTAAAGTATATTCACCCTTCAACCAAACCCAAGAATTCGTGGGATTTTTGGAACCACGTCCTTGGACGTAAGTACCTACTTGTGCAGTCCAAGATGGCTCGTCATAACTTTGACTTGCGCCCCCACGGTCTCCCACACAGGGGCGAAGGGGAGCATAGGGCGGATGCCCCCATGTTTGTGGTAGGACCCATGGTTGACCAAAGCGAACTGCCTTTTCGCATGCTTTGTAGAGAATACGGCGCCACACTGGCCTACACACCTATGCTACACGCTAAGTGTTTCAAGGAAAGCGCGATGTATCGCCGGAAATTTTTTACAACCACTCCTATCGAAAGGGTTAGCCAGTACGTAGCATCCGCCACGGCTGCTGAAGCAGGCGTACAGAGTTTTGATAAGGCTGAACGGCTATCTACTCACGATCAACCTGGCAGGCCGCATCCTGATTGTGGAATGAATTCTGACCGAGGTGCTGATCGAGATTCCCTTGTAGATAGACCATGCATAGTTCAGTTTTGTGGACATGACCCAGAGACCGTTTTGGAAGCTGCACGTCTTGCGGTGCGAGGCGAATATGTGGACCTGAACCACCCAGATGGTATTTACCATGTCTCTGCCAATCGTCCTGATGGGAATTTTACACCGAATAAAGAGACTGATGAAGATAAAGAGGAAATATTTTATCAATGTGATGCGGTTGATATCAACTTAGGCTGTCCACAGGGTATTGCGCGCCGCGGTCACTACGGTTCCTTTCTCATGGAGGACTGGGATCTTATCCATACGATCATTCATACACTACATGTTGAGCTGGAGGTGCCCGTGACTGCCAAAATACGTGTTTTTGACTACTCAGACACTACGAACTCAACCCCAGTCAATGAAAATATCGAGTCTAAATTAGATGAGTTGCTTACAATTTACTACGCACAGATGATTCGAGATGCGGGGGCGCAGTTGATATGTGTGCACGGCCGAACACGTGCGATGAAAGGACAAAACAGCGGCCTGGCCGATCTTGAGCTCATTCGACGTGTTCGCTTAGCCCTGGGTGGGACCATTCCGGTTATCTCCAACGGTAACGTACTGTGCTACCAGGACGTATTGAAGAACTTTGCTCAAACAGGATGCGAGGGGTATATGTGTGCTGAACCGCTGCTTTGGGATCCGACGCTCTTTAGTAATCCTGACCACCCCGTTTTCTCTGGACGTCTTTATGGCGCCAACAAAAAAGCTCGTTTAGCGGCTATAGACACCGCACTAAACTACATGCGCTGGCTGCGGCGCTGCCCGGCTGACGTAGGCATCATTAAAACCCATCTTTTTAAGATGTGCTACCACAGCTATGAGTTGCACCCATCTTTCCGTGACTTTATGGCTAATTTTAAAACTCGTCTGAATTCGGTTCAGGAGGATGAGACCTGTGTTGTGGATGCCGACCAGGGGACCTCTGATAGTTTCGAGGAAAAAAGCCTTGAGGAGGACGTTACCGCATTTTTTAATCAAGTAGAAATCCTTGAAAACCACCTACAAACGCTTGCAAAAGTGGAGATTTCTTCTAATGTGGAAGGGGAGCAGCCAAAAACAGCTAAAGAGCGAAAGGCGGAGTCACGAATGCAGCAGGTTGATTTTTTTGAAGGAGAAGGTTGCCTTGGGTTTGATTTTTAAGCTAGTAAAGATTAACCACGTTTAAAGACTAGGCTCTAATTTTAATATGCTAATAGTATAACTCATTTTTATTTTTTTCTTATAGCTCTTTCAAAATTCTTAGATTGTGCGATAGTTGAAGCAATGAATATATATATATATAAAATAAATGTTATTGATTTCTTTTTGTCATCATTTTTTTCTAACCTTTTGCTTTCTAGATCCACAAAAAATACTAAAAAAATTAGTTTTATAGGATTTAATAAGGTGTTAACAATATAAAGGATCCTTTTATTTTTTTAAGTGCTTCTTGTAGTGGCATAAATATATAAATAAATCATTAGTTTACTACATTTGTTTTGATATTTGGATTTAATATTTCATAAAAAAAAAGAAAAAAAATTGATAAGGAGTCGAAATCGGATTACTGAACTTGTGTGAAAATGTCTTCCTCTACAATTTTGAGGAAGCACCTTAGTATTGGATTTCATCTATTTACGCTGGTGCTTCTTGCTATAGTGTTAAATAACTTAGTACCTGACGTTAGTGCTGTGGGCCTTGGTTCACATGTCGGTGGAGTATCCAAGTCTCCTTCTGCAGACCTCCCTGTGGATTCCATAGTGAATGTTTCTAATGAAGTTCTTTTCGACCGCCACACAGTGCTTGACAAAAGTTATTGGATGACCTTAGGAGATCAAATGAAGTTATTAGATAAATGGTTTGGGAAACCGATAGCTTCATCTACAATTAGTGTGGAGAAAACCTTGTCCGAGTCGTCAACGCCAGACTTTGGGGGCGTTCACGTCCTTCCTTTCATGGATATCATTTATTTAAGTCCCAAAAGAACCACCGCTACGGTGGGCTCATCACCGAAATTTGCGATGTGGAAAAAAGACAACGTAGCAAGCGACGAGACACCACAGACACACATTGTGGTGGACTCGAAGGATGAGCCGCGGCAAATGCAAACACAGACTACCGCAACTTTTCCCCTGGGTACTATGGATGATTTTGAAGCGATTAATCAGGACATTTTAGAGAATTCTGTCATTGCACCGTTTCGACTCCATCCCCTAACACATCCGAAAACCAATAGCCTACACTGTCCACAAAAGGATGTTCTCAAGGTCTCAACCCATCACGAAGCCCAGCTCCATAACCTGCAATATGAGCCCAATAATATTTTTGGCAATTCTATACTCCACGAAACAATTATCGATAAGAATGAGTACGATGATAAGATTACCATCACCATGCACGGTGGCGGTACGAAAATTATCTCTTTTAAAGGACACAAAGACCACGTCGTCAATATTGTTCTTCAGCTCCGTGGGCATCTCTACGAATCCGGCGGTTCGGGTCACGGCTGTGAAAATATGCGGATATCGGCCGAACTGCGCCCCGGCAGCGCTTCGAGGTATTCTAAAGATCGAGGGACTTCTTCGGAGCTCTCACCGATGGCCGCGGCGGGGTTTGATCACCATGGCGTGGAGGGAGTTGACGGGGGACTGACCGGGCAAACCCGCGGGAAAGCGGGCGCCCGATCTCAACCCCCGACGATCCCAACCCCGGCCCATCCGCTTGCCTACACGGACGACTTTGGGAACGATTACCGAAGCCGCCAAACGAACTTATGGAGCTCCCTCGCGCAGTTATTCGACACCTCTTTATTGTGTGAGGTTTTACCTAGTCTTTCCCTACGCGTCCCCAAGGTGGAGGAGGACCTGAACTTTAATTTTATCATCCAAAGCAACCTGCAATCCCTTATTAGGTACCAGATTATTGGCGAAAGGCTGTTCAACCCGAACTATGAGTGCTCGATGGATGTTTATCTATCCCAGATCCCTGCCCAAGAGCTATGGTCTAACCAGATGATTTTTGCGGTGGTGCTTCCTTTATTGGTGGTATTTCTCCCACTTCCCTTTCTTCTTCGGCGGGCGGACATCATCCAGGTGGCGTCGCTTGGGATTGATGTGATGGAGTGCCTTTGGAGCCCGCCCTATCTCCTTCGGCGGGGGGTGATCGCCGGGGTGGTGGGGCTTCGGGGGCTGTTGAAGGCGGTCTGGCATCAACACCGCCGGAAGGGCCTTCAAAAGCGGCTGGAGATGCGGCAGCGGGCCCTCGCCGCGCAGATGCAGGCGACGATGGCGGAGGCCCAGGGGGATTCCCCCCACGGCGATTCCCTGCCGTTTAAAGGCGCTGAGGACCCGCCGATCCCGCCGGCCCAGGCCGACGATGCGGAAAAGCCGGAGAAAAGCGGGGCGGGGGTGGGCGATCGCCCCGCCACCACGGCGATCGTTATCCACGCCCCCTCCCCCTCCTCTTCCGCGGAGGCCCCGGCCTCGCGGCTTCATCGGGAGTACGGCAAAGCGGACGATCCCGGCTTGCCCGGGGTTCCGCCCCCGCACGGGTTGGCGGGCGGGCCCTTCGCCCGGCTCCCCGGCTCGCATAGCCCCACCCGTTCGGATATTCTTTTCCCCCCCGACCCGTCTTGTGGGGGGGAGGGGAGCGATATCGGCGAGGATGAGCGGTTTTGCCGGATTTGCCGCGATGGGGACGAAGACCAGGCGTTGGTGGCGCCGTGCAATTGCACCGGCTCCGTGCGTTGGGTGCACCCGTCTTGTCTGGATCACTGGCGCGTCGAGAGCATCAAACGCAACCTGCAGAACGTCAACACCTGCGAGATCTGCAAGTGCCCGTTCAAAATCAAAATTCGGCGCTCCATTCTGATCTGGCAAAGTTGTAAAAGCATCGTCTACGGCGTTATTTTGGTGCTGTCCTGTTTGGTGTGTATTTTGTTGGCCCCGCTGATCGCATACGGCGTCTTTGGCGAGATCTCCTGCGTCGCCAAGTACCATCACGTCCCCTACGCGACGATCTACAAGCTCGATGGCATCATGCTTTCGTTTTTTCTCTATATTGAGATTATTCTGGCGGTCATCCTCGCACGACTGATTGTTTATAGTTGGTTCCGCAGCAGTCCGGCGGTGGAGACCTATATCGCCGAGGTGCACGTCATCCCACGATTTATGACCTGGCGTAATATCCTGAAAATAGCCTTGGTGACCTGCGTGTTAATCGCCCAGGCGATTTCCGTCGGGTACCTGATCAAATATCTAATGTACGCCACGAGCGATATCGTGTGGAATTGGGAGGCCTCTCCGCTAATTGGGGGTATTTTATACATTTTCTTCATCTTTATAGCATTAGGCGTGAGTGTTTTACTGCGGGAGCGGTGGATGCAGTCTCGGATCCCTCGCGAACGGCCGCCGGCGGCGGGCGTCGGGAGGGGGGAGGGGAGCCCCAACAACGGGAGTTGGGGGGGGCCCGGGGCCGAAGGCACGGGGCCGGTGGTGGTCCGGGTGAATTTCGCCCTGCCGCCGGCCCGGCAGGAAGAGGGGGCCCCGGGATTGGGGCCGGGGAGGCCGGCTTGAGATTCTCTCATCCGCGGACCGCCACCTCGGCGCCGCCCCATCTCATTTCCTTCGTTTTCATTTAGTCGCCTCGGGGAGAGGTCAACGAAGGGGGCAGGTGATCCGGGGAACGACCCTTTGCGGGTCATTGAAAATTCAATCACGTGCCGTAAGGGCTGTTCTTGCGGGGGGCTTTGAATAAGGGGGTTTGACACTCTTAGAGCTGAAAATAATTTTCATCATTGAGTTTTTATAAATTAATAAACACCTTATGACATGCTTGTGCATATTTATCTGAAATACAATTATGCAGGAATATATAGATATATATTTTTTCTCTACTTTATCTGTGAAAAAAAAATAATTAGAAATATTCACGCTAATCGAATTTCGTTTTACGTTTTCGCTATAAAACAAAAACCTATATATATCTAAGCGCGCAAACTGAATACTATTGCGAACATGTAATGGCGTAAATAGTGAATTTATTTATCTTCATCAAGAGGGTTAACGGAACTTAGATACGTTAGTTTAGTGGTTCTTTACGCATTTTATTTATCTTGTACATAGTTGAAATTTTATAAATTGCAGTTATTGTTATTATATAAATTTTCGACATAAATGTCTAAATCGACAATATATGCTCTTTTTTTTAACCTAAAAAATATTATATTTTCAAATCATATTTTCTGATATAGTATGGGGAAAAGTGAGAATGAACTTTGCTGTTTTTAAATTTTGCTTTGCTAATTACCAGACATGTAATTCTTGAAGATTTTTTTTAACCTATTAGGGTTTCTACCCCAAGCAGCCATTTTGCTCAATAACTATCGATTATATATAGTGTTGCTGCATATTGTAAGTTTTTAAATCGACAAATTCGTTGAACCCATCGGTGTACATCCTATTCATGAAGCCTGCGACTTTTTCATCCTTGACGCATTTTTTTGCCTTTTCGTTTCCTTTTTGATGCCCTCCCCAGAAGATCCATCATTGCGTATTTCTCCTCAGTTTTACTTTGGACGTGTTTAATCTTTGTTTTTATCTTTTTAGGTGTATGCGTAGGATTACATTCACAACACATTCTGAAGTCAAGCGCCATCTGGTTTGTGACGTCTGTGAACCTACAGGTCATCCCCCCGGGCCGGACGCCGATTGTCTTGGACGGACCCCCAAATCGGTAATTTGGCCCATTCACGCCCGCACCGGTGATTCTTCGCCGATTTCTTTATTTGTATTTATTATTTTTGGTATCCTTTTCGGGCCCGATCAGGCCGGCTTGAATGGCCAACCACGGCTGGCGGAAGGCCGCCTACGCCGGCGGGCCGTCGCCGCCGGGCAGCTCCCCATCGCGTTTGGCGTTTAACCAGGCGGAGCACCGCCGCCCGAGCGGCGCCTGGGCCCCCCTGCCGGAGTATTTCAACGAGGGCGGCTTCGGCCCCGACGGGGTGGGGGCGCGCGCGCTCAAACTCGTCCGGGGGGACTTCGTCGCCCCCCAGTTGGCCCCCTCGCGGGCGGAGCAGTTCCCTGTGTCGAAGATGGACGGCTTTTTGGCCAACCCCGCAAAGCAGCGGCCCTCGCGCGCGAGCTCGGAGCCCCGGCCCCTGCCCCATGTCGGCTCGGTCTACTCCCCTTGGAGTAGTTCGGGGGGCTCGCGCGAGGCCGCGAATCGCGCGGCCTCGCCGGGCCCGTCGTCGTCCTCGGGCTTCTCGATCGCCTCGGTTCGCTGCGAGCGGCTGCCGTATTTGCTGTCCGTCCGGCAGTTGTTGGCGGAGCGGGGCCTCGGCGGGGGGGATGGGACGCTTTCGACGCTGTCCTCCTCGGGGATCGCGCTGGAGGACTGGGGGGGGGGGGCCGCCCTCGCGGGGGATTAGGAGGACCCACACGCGCCTGGACGAGCCCGGCGAGGCCGCCGCCCGCCGCCTCAGCCGGGGGAATTCCGTCTCGCTGATCACCAACGAGGGGCCGAGGTGCGGGAGGGTGGCGTGGAAGGCCGTCCCGACGACAAAGCGGCTCGGGATGCGGGGGCTCTCCTCCCGGGGGGGGTCCTTCCACGCGAAGGCCCCGTCGGCGATGGCCTCGCCCTATGCCGAGGGCGGCCGGCGCCAATCCAGGCTCGGGAGCGGCCGACTGGGGGAGAGCTGCGGGAGTGTGGTCTGGCGAGACTTCCCGACGCTGCTGAAGGGGCGTCCCGGCGGATCCCACTTCCGGGCGCTCGGGCTTCCGCCCTCGAAAGCGAACCCGACCCCGTCGTCTCGCGGCTCTCACAATAGCCCATCCTGCCGGCGAGCCAGCAGACGAAGTCTCCTTTCGGCTTCTAATCGAACGAGCGACGCCGGGGAAAAGGAGGGGGGGAGGGCGAAATGGTCCCGAACCCCGCGTGCTGGGGATCACTCGGGGGCGGCGTCGAGGGCCGATCGAATCGGGAGCGCCCGCAGTTCGTCCTCGGGGGATTTCGACGGCTCGATGGTGAGAAGTTTTTCCGGTAGTTTGTCAACGATGGAGGAGCCGAGCATTGTGATGGTGGAGGTCTATGACCCTCGAACCCACCCACCTACCTTCTTCCACAAAAAGCGAACCCCAACCGTTCCGGGAATGGATGGAATGCCCGAAAAAAGGCTGTCAAAAGTAGAAAACAGGACGGTTGGTCGATCCGAAATTCGAAAAGTAAATTCCGATTTAAGTAAGGCATCTACACAGTCTTCTGAGATTGAAACAGTAGAGTTGCCGAGTGAAATAAAGACGCTCGACACGCACTCCCTTCTAACAAGGTCTAGTGAGTCTCAACCAAAGGAAGACGGGAGAGGCAACAAAAAAGTACAAAAAGTTGAGAAATCCCCTTCAACGCGACATTCAAACAACGTAAAAGTTGTGTGTATGGAGGATTTGCTTCCTTCCAAGCGAGCAGGGCGTATAGCCGGTGGATTGGGGGTAACACGAAATCCCGCATTCTCCCATCAAACGACCCAAAATGGCAACAAGTCGGATAAGACGCGCGTCGTTCGAAATGTCGGTGAATCCATATTAAAGAAAAATAATCATACCACTGTAGATTCTATGCGCGCCGTCTATTTAGGGGGATCGCATACGCGAACACCGAGTCCGACATTGTCAACCAGCCCACCCCCTCGCACCCCGCCTTTACATCAGAATCTAGGCCGAAACGGCAAAATTAAACCCTATATTGAATACGCTGGTTTAAATACTAAAGAAGGCAGGAAAGAATGCACGGGCAAAAAAGCAAAGCGAATTCAATCTTTGATTGAATCTAATGATCCTTTTAGTTATCTTTTGGTCTACCATGGATTGTGGGGGGAAAGGAATTATTACTAAATCATTGCTATAGTGGAACTATAGATATATCATGTGTAATGAGTAATCAATTGGTTTCTTTTTTTTGCTGTATATTTGTGTGTTTCGCTTACAGGCTAAGCTATGGACTTTGCGTATTTTTTTTTATTCTATTGTATTTTTTATCATTTCTATTGTGCCACGCCACTTCATTTATTAATAGTGCCATACGACTAGTGATATTTCTTAATAATGTAAAATTAAGCTAAAAACCATCAAAAATAACTGACTCTTTACTTTTGTTATTTTAACATTTTTCAGAAACAACCTCAAACAGTTTTTGATCTACTTCACAGGGTCCTTTCGTATCGAATGAATTTATTCTCTACAATATCAACGTTTCTACCCTTTTTTTTTCACCAGCTCATTTTTTTTCTTCCTTCCATAGCATATAAAGGACATTTAACCCCCCCTTATAAAAATGCAGATCTTCGTGAAGACGTTGACGGGCAAGACGATCGCGCTCGAGGTCGAGGCCAGCGATACGATCGACAACGTGAAGGCGAAGATCCAGGACAAGGAGGGGATCCCCCCGGACCAGCAACGCCTGATTTTCGCGGGCAAACAGTTGGAGGAGGGCCGCACGCTCGCCGATTACAACATCCAGAAGGAATCCACCCTGCATTTGGTCCTCCGTCTGCGTGGCGGGGTGATGGAGCCGACGTTGGTGGCCCTGGCGAAGAAGTGCAATTGGGAGAAGAAGGTTTGCCGGCGATGCTACGCCCGCCTCCCGGTCCGCGCGACGAATTGCCGAAAGAAGGCCTGCGGCCACTGCTCCAACCTCCGAATGAAGAAGAAGCTCCGCTAATCCACAACGGGCCATCCCGTGAGCGGAAACCGCCAGGCTAGCCTGGGAGGAAAAAATGAACGTTCGTTGATTTGAATTACTTTTTAATCCACTTTTTTTTTTTCTCAATCTCCAGCAGCAGTAGCGAAGGGTCGCATAACTGGTGGCATTGAATTTCATTCTATCGCTGTTAGCATTTCTCGGCCGCTGATCGGTTCATACTTCTTTTTTTCTCTCTTGCTTTTCCTCTAACATATAAGTTCGTGAGGTTCTTGCTTTTGATTCCCATTCTAGAAAAGAAAAATGGAAATTCTTTAGAACTTTTTATACAACCCCCCCCAAAAAAAACTACTCACGGTTATCGATATCCTGAAGTCTCCTTCCTGATATACCATGTCGGTTGATTGGAATATAATAAACACAACAATTAAGGAGTACATTAGCTCCATCCCCCCTGTCATCACTTTATATATCGCAGGTTCCCTGCGAATGCCCCTCTTTCGATTTGGTGTGGCTCACCAGCGGCCTCAAATAAAAAAGCCTTTTCAATTCCAATGGACTGTGTGGGCAGATCCAAGCTATCACACAGCTTCACGTACGATTTTATTTATTCCTCTCTCTTCCCCCCCCTCCCCCCCAAAAAAAAGGCCTGACTTCTTTCCGGTGGATTAACAAACCGTTTTCCCTCACGCCCTGGAAAAGAAGGGTGGGGCCCTACCAGGCACGTCCCCCTTACAATGGGCACTCTTTTAGAGGGATGGCCCCAGCGATGACGGACCG